TTAATTTGACCTTTTATAATTTCAGATTTAAGATTATTCAGTATGCCAAAATTCTTCCGTACTCCTCACATCTTTTGGTTAGTGTTCGAACCAATCATAATTTGCATCAATTACGTAAGTATATTACTTACTTTGTTAACAATTTTAAAAAAGTATTGAAAACAATTTATTTAATATTTTATTTTTAATTTTTATATAATCGAAAAGAATGCAATTAAACTAAAAGTGCTATAGAATTTTAGATAAATATTTGAAAAATAATTTTAGCAAATAATTTTCATTTCATTATTGACTTAATGAAAGAAATATTTAGTGCGAAAAATTTGACAAAATATTTAAGCTAAAAGTACAATAAAATAAGCATAAATCCACTATATTAATCTTTTATTCGTTTTTTCACTATTTAAAATAATATAAACATTTCTTTTGTAATAAAATTCGATTTTAATTTACTTGCAAGTTGTTTTTCTTAGATTTTCCAAATACATTCTTAAGAAATGAAGTTTTTTTGCAGATTTTTAGCTCAGTTTCATGGATGTGTGATAGTATGAAAATAATATTATTATGATATTATTACGATTTAATATTAATAATAATAATGCAATCAATAAAGTTGTAGATGGCATGGTACAATGTCCAGTGGGTAAGTAATTTTGGTCCACCGGGAAAACTCATAGAATATCTCGGACTACGCTTTCCATTATTTTTTTTGATAACAAATATTGTTGTTTTGGTCGTGCACACCGGCGAAGCTTTAACTGCCTTTAAGTTATGCAAATTACTGAGTCTTACAACAAATGATTCAATAAAATGGACACTACAAACGCTTATTTATGGCTATCCATCGCTACGATTACTCTTAAATTATTCAACTTCACTACGACGCCATCGATAGTTTAGTTCATTATTGTTTTTCAGTATTTTGATAAATTCAATTTTTTAGAAAATTAAGAATTCTATCCGACTGGCAAAAAATTTTCATATTTGTTTAGATGTAAAAGAAGTGGACATTACACAACTTTGTATAAAACATTTGCTTGATGTTGTCACTTAAGATACAATTTGTTGTAATAAATCTGAGCCAAAGTATCATTTATTGACAATTATATTTGGAATATTTTGTTATTAATGTAAGTGTAGACTTTTATTTATCAATGATTTGTATAGTGTTGACTGTGG